ATAGCAAGTTCAGGCCAGCTGGGGCTACAGGGAGACCTTGTCTTGAAAAGATCAAACAAAAAAGAATTTATGGAAGTGAAACCTTTTAAAAATAAAAAACCCAAACAAAACAAAAACCTAGGTTTGGTCCCCAGCAGTGCAGTAAATAAATAAATAAATAAATAAATAAACAAATAAGTAAAGTAAATGGACAAAATTTTAAAATGAAACAACTAAAGATCAATTTGAATAATGCCCCTGATAAGTGCATCCTGGCATATCCAGTTCCAAAGGTGGGGTATATGGAAACTATAGTTCTCAAGAGGTGTTAAATGAATGGGTTAATAATAAAAAATGTTTATTAACAGCATTCATGGTGTCAGACGGTGACAGCCATTCATCACATGCACGCGCCAGACTCTTTATGACTAGTCTCTCAATTCTCCTAGTGACTTTGTCTATGTTACCAGTAAGGTAACATAGTTGATTCCACACTCATAATGTCCAGATCATTCTAGAAGACAGCGTTCCATAGTGCTTATCTCCTTCCTCAGCTCTTACATTCTTTCCAGTCCCTCTTTCCCTGGACCTTAGAGGGAGTGATACAGATGTCCTATTTAGGGCTGACCATTCAACAGTCACTTATTCTTAGCATTTTTGTCAGCTCATGAATCTCTACAGTAACTATCACCCACAGAAAAAAAGAAAATTCTCTGGGTAAAGTGGACAGCAGCACCCATCTATGGCCCTTGGCTTTTTGATACAGTTCAGGCTGGTTTTGAACTTGCTATATAGCCAGGGTGGTCTCAAATTCTCATTCCTACTGCCTCTGACTCCCATGCATTGGGATTCCAGGTTTGTGCCACCATGCCCAGCCACAGAATGGCTATGAGAAGACAGCAGGAGACATTAAGAAATATATATATATATATGTATATTATTGAACAGTTTTGTCTTTAAAAGCTGTGATCTCAAGAAAATGTTTTTAAGACAAGCCAAAAAACAAAAAACCATATTCTTTGTCATAAGTCTGTCTGGATATTATCATTATTACAGAGTGTAGGGAGGAGCATGCAACCAGGACTCGATATTAGGCCATGACCACTTTCTAGCTGCATGTGACTTTATACGAGTTTATTATGTGGACATAGTCATGTCTACCTTCAATTTGTTATCAATAGCAAATCAGATAGTATATATAAAGTTACTTAGTGCAGTGATGCACATAGCACACTAGGTGGTCAGAGGCAACTTGCAGGAGTTGGTTCTCTTCTTCCACTAGGTGAGCTTTGGTGGAAAGTATCTTTACCTTCTGAGCCATTTCACTGACCTAAATGATAGAGTTTTAATTCAAGGTGATGCATAAGATCAGATAAGATCAAGGGTGGGTTAAATTAAAATTAAGGAAAAGCTAAGTTTTATTGAGAAGGGTACCAATATGTGTTTCAGCATTAACATCTTTAAAAATTTATTCCAGGGACTGGAGAGATGGCTGAGCAGTTAAGAGCACTGGCCCCTCTTGCAGAGGATCCGGGTTCAGTTCCCAGAATCCACATGACAGTTAACAACTGTCTGTAACTCCAGTTTCTGCCTTCTTCTAGCTTCTGCAGGCATTGTGTGACACCAGTGCACTTACATACATGCAAACAAAACACTCATACAATAAATAAATACATAAATAAACAAACAAATAAATAGTTTAAAAGTTATTCCAAAAATGTTTTATCAGTCAGTATTTTGTTTTCTTATAAAGAGTATCTATCTCTCTATATAGAGAAATACAAGTTTATAAATGTTTACATACCCAAATTTAAGCACCACATATATAAAAACGCACACACTGTAACTGTACAGCATGACAAATTATCCAAGCTTCATCTCGTGTAGCTGTTACCCACACCAAGAAACAGAAACTTACTGCCCTCCCCTCACTCCCTCCCTCATGCCTCTTCCAAATCATTACCTTCTACCTCTGTCCCAGTGGTAATAACTGCCATGCTACCTTCTAACAGCAGAAACTCATTTGCCTATTTCTGACCTTTATATTCACGGAATCATAAAAAACATAGTCCTTTGGGTCTGGAGAACTGGCTCAGCAATTAGGAGCACTGGCTGCTCTTACAGAGGACCCATGCTTGGTTCCCAGCACTCACATTCTTAACTTCAGTGCCAAGGGAACCTGACCCCCTCTTCTGGCCTCCACAGGCATTGCACACATGGGTGCACTTACATACAGCAGGCAAAACACTCATACACATAAAATAAAGTAAAAAATAAATAAACAAAAATGAAAAAGAATGGTCTTTCATGTTCCTGTCACTCAGCATTATGTTCTTCATATGAAAATGTACCCTTATCTCCTCAGCTGTGAAGAAACAGAAACCACAAGGTTACACAATAGCCAAAGTCAGTGAGGACAAAAACACTGGATCAGTCATGAGCTTCTGGTTAGGAGTAAATTGCAAAACCACTTAGGAAAATGGAATGGTAGTCAGTATTTAAATCTACCTCCTGGGTTTGGGGATATACATTCTCATCAAGTGTTTATTTTACTATATTAGAGAAAGAAATGAAAGGGCAGCCAAATTAAGCAAGAAGAGGAATATTAATACATATTTGAGTTTCGCCTTTAATCCCAGCACTTGGGAGGCAGAAGTAGGCGGATCTCTGTAAGTTCAAGGCCAGCCTGGTCTACATAGTGAGTTCCAGAACAGCTGGGGCTACAGGGAGACCTTGTCTCAAAAAGACCAAAGGGAAAAAAAATTAGTGAAATAGGAAAGCAACAGAAAACTGGTTCTTTGAAAACAACTGTAAACCTAATAAAACCAGTGACTTTATAAACCTACTATAAGGAGAGAGGAAGGGAGGGAGGAGGTTGAGAGGAAAGGAGAGGAAACAGGGGAGAAGAGGGGAGAGGGCCTAGGGTTTAGGGGCAGGAAAAGAGGTAAAAGCATCAGTAAAAGGATTGTAAAGGGACACAGATAGGCCACCACTTAGAACAACTTAATTTATAATTTTCAGACTTTAGGATCATGTAACAGGGATACACATTCAGTAGAAAAATACTCCAAATTTTGACCCTTTATCTGTTCCTGGGTCAGTGATGCTGGCTCCCAGTTGGCTACATAATCACAGGGTGACTGATCATACTCTATAGTGTTATTAAATGCATTTAATTTACAATATTTCCACCTTGTTGGACTGTAACTCCATTGTAAATCAAGGACCATCTGTATCAGGAAACAGTTTAGCAATGAGTCAGTGAACATATGGATACTTGATTTATGATAATGTTAGCACTGGGGGAAGAAGGAGAAGGAGATGGTTTCAATAAATGGTGCTGAGTGTACTGGACAGTCACATGGAAAAATGGAATCTTGATCCTTACATCACAAGATCAGTTCTAGATGGTTCGCAGGCACACCTGTGAAAAAGGTTAAAACAACAAAGCTTCTACAAAATGATCTTGAGATAGGCAAACAAATGGAAAACCCCTTAAACAAAAGCTCCAAGTATAAAGGAGAAGATGAATAAATGATACTAGCTAGAATTAAGAACTTTTGTTTATTGAAATCTATTAAGGGAATGAAGGCGAGCCACCAAGTAGAAGATAACACACATAGCCAGTTTGTGACCAGAATATATCAAGAATTACTACAAGTGAAAAAGAAGCACAGGAGGCTGGAGAAATGCCTCAACAATCAAGAGCGTGTACTGTTCTTCCAGAGGACCTGAGTTCAGTTCCCTGCACCCATATTGATTTGTTCACAATTGCCTATAACTCCAGCTCCAGGAAATTCAGTGCTCTCTTCTGGCCTCTGTGTACACTGCATTCATGTGCACAAACCCACACTCAGATAAATCATATACATATAATTAAAAATAAAATCCTTTAAATAAAAGACACAAAGATACTCAATTTAAAAAGATGAAAGGAGGCTGGAGAGATGACTCATTGGTTAAGAGTACTGGCCGCTCTTGTAGAGGACCCAGGTTCCATTCCTAGCACCCACATGTTGTTAACAACCACCTGTAACTCTAGTTGTAGGGGCTCCAACACTGTCCACTGGCCTCTATGAGCACTGCACACACAGGTGCAGTTACATACATGCAGACAAAACTTTCATACCCATGAAGTAAAAGTAAATAAATAAATAAATAAATAAATAAATTTTTAAATAAAATAGAAATAGACAAAAGATACTCTTTTGACGAAAAAGAAAGTGGACAGGGTGCTCTTGTCTTGCCGAAGCAGCACATGGAGCAAGTTCTCTTAACTCAGGACTTGTGATCACTATTTAGTGACCATACTCTGAAGGACAGTGACAGAGGTAAGAGCTGAAGTGCAGAGTGACAGCTGTGGTGACAGACTAAGTTAAAGTAAATGTGTTGGCTCATGTCAGGTGGTTTATGGGAAACAGGGCAAACAATCCTCCTGAGAGAATACAGTTGCTGGCCTAACTCAGTCATAATTAAAGTAGCATCCATAATAGATGCTTTAGAAGAATGACCTAACAGAACAGGAAAGCAAAGGCTTCCTGCAACTGGCATGAGCTAACTGCTTTTGGAGGCCAGCCAGGCTGGCATCTGTTTCTTACATGGTACAGTAGTCATGGCCAGTTTCCCCTTTACCTAAGGCTCCTTTTTAGAAAAAAAATTGGCATTAACAGTTCAGCCAAAGATTCAGGGCAAGGAAATAACCTGCTCAGGTCAGCCGAGTGGCTCCACGCAGCCTTTCCTGGTGACGCCAGTCTTCAAGATTGACTGGTGGGTAAACAATTGATAAACTCACATGACTCTCTCACCTGAGTGCTAGTTGGCTGTTATTTCTGCACTGTAAAAATGAGGAAACTGAAGCCTAAGGAGTTAAATGTCTAAGGCAAAGAGAACACAGTAAGTGAAACAAGTGCTCTACTTTGAAGTTTTCTAGGTCAAAACCCTGTGCTCTTCCCAGGTGTCACACCGAGGGATTAGAAATTTAACAGTGAGTGGTGTGTGCACTGTGGCAAGATAGCACATACCTGAAATACCAAAGCCAATGATGAATACAATTGCTCCAGCCAGGATAATGGTGATGTTAATAATGCTATAGAGAGAGACAGAGAAACAGGAAGTTACTTCTTTGTTCCACTGGACATGTTGCTTCATGATCTGGCACATATCTGTTCCAGAGAAGATGTGCTACATAAGGCATCTTGTTTTTCTTTCATATAAGCCCCTCCTAGAAATGGGTACCACTCCCATCTCACTGGAGTCCTGGGATAGAAGAAAGAGCTTTCCTTTTATGTGATGCTGTCAGCTTCCCATCTTACTTTGCTATTTCCAGATCAAAGAAGACCATATACAAAGATGCTGGGGTAAGAGTGATGGTGGTACCTCTCTGTTAAAAGACACTTGGGGGGAGCTGGTCTCCTATTCAGCCTTCGTTTAGCAACACTGCTCAGCCTCTTGGATCATTGATCTTTCTGTCTTGTCTCTTCCTGAAGACCTTCACCCCCACCTGGGACAATACTCATGTCTTCTCCACTTTGAACCCACTTGCATGTGGTTCACTATGCCCCATATGCCCTCTATGAGAATCTTCACACTCATCTTTAAAAAAATGGCAGACTGGGCATATAGCTCAGTGACAGAGCACATGCTCAAGGCCTTACGTTCCATCCTCAAACCAAAAAAAAAAAGAAAAAAAGAAAAAGAAAAAAAGCCCTCAATCAAAAATACAACAATAAAATCATCTACAAGTCCGTCATCCAGACATAACCACTATTCAATTTTTGTTATGTATCCTGACAGTTATTAATTAACAGATTAACAAATGACAATTGGGAAATAAAATAGCTAAATAAGAAAGTGTTGCTTACATCTTCTGACTGCTTGAATTGTATGATAGACATGTTCCAAGCACCACTTACAGCTTACATCATCTACCCATTCAATAACCTTATGAGGCAAACAAATTCATCACCTCCACTTTATAGATGAAGAGTGACATAAAGATTAAGTGTTTTCCCTGAAGCTGCACAGTTAGCAAGTGGCGGAGCTGTGATCAGAGTCTGTCTCTCAAATCTGTACTCAGTCACTTCCTACACTGCTCCCCAGGGTGGAGGTTGGCAGGTGCCCTTCCTCTGTGTTCAGAGGAGCCCATGCTCCAGGAGGCTTTAGCTGATGGGAGTGAGTCAGGTGGAGCAGAAGGCTCAGGTCAAAGAGGGCGCACAGGCAAAGCCATTCCTGGGAAGCTCGCCCACTGCTGCCTGCTTGGCTGTGTAACTCATCAGGAGGGTGCTTGGCTACACTCTGAGCCACTGGCCACTCACACACTCCCCACACCCACAGTGAGGTTACTCAATAGGTAGGACAAAAGAACAGTACAGGGAGGCCTAGAACGATGCTATAGAGGGAAAAAGGAAGCCTGGGGCATCTCACTTTCTGTACTGAATAGGTTCCTTGTATCCTGGGTTCACCAGAGAGAAGGAGCTGACTTACAAGAAAAAACTCAAGCACGCAGTTTCCTTGGAGGTCAAGCCTGGCTGAGCTCTGCCACAGGGGCAGCAAGCAAAGCTCTTAATAATGAGGCTGCTTGCTACACTGCTTCCCAAAAAGGACCACACATGACCACCTCCTTCTCTACCTCAGTGACGCCTCGGTTCTTATCAGGCCTGTGAGAACAGTGGGGCACTGAGGACAAGAGGACCGTGTGGCTCTCCCTGACTCCTGTGACTTGCATGTGTGACACCGGGTTTTCAGTTACTTTGAGTAAATTACTTTGATGAGGAGTAAGAGCAATTCCTGTTTTATTTATGAGAAATGTGTTACAGTTTGTTTATATTCCCCCATCCCTGAATTCTTGTGTTAAATCTTAATGCCAAGTACCACAGAATGTGACTTGATTTGTAGATGCAATGAATTAAGGTGAGATAAAACTGGAGCAGGTGTTCTTACAGGGAGAAGTTTTGTTGGCATCATTGTGTCAGCCTGTAATCCCAGCGATTCCACAGGCTGAGGTAGGAGGATCCCTTTTCCCCAGAGACCCAAGGCCAGTGTGGACAACCAGTTTGTGGCACTGTGTTATGGCTTCCCCTAACATACTAACAAAAGCATTGTTTTATTTGACCAGACAGTTGATATTATATAATCCCTAAAAGGATATCCACATGTTACTTTTTGCTATAAATATCTATTTTACCTGTAGCCATTCTTTCCTTAAAAGATTTATTTTTATTGTTTTTTACTTATGTGTATATGTGTGGCTGTATGTCTGTACAAATGAATGCAGTGTCCATGAAGGTCACAAGAGGGCATTGGATCCTCCAGAACTGGAATTACAGGCTGTTGTGAGCCACCTGTAGTGGGTGCTAGGAACTAAACTTGGGTCCTCTGCAAGAGCAGTACACGTTCTTAACTGCTGAGCCATCTCTCCAGTCCTATAAGTTCATTCTTAAGATTTTATTTTGTTCATTCTTAAAATTTTAGGAGAGGGCTAGACAACAGCTAGTGAGTAGATTCTTAGACACTCAGGGTACTTTTGTTAGATACTCTTTACAAAAGGGCCCAAATGAAGTAGACTTGCTAATGTATTAAATATTTGTTATGTATACTCACCACATGAAAGGAACAAAGGTTAGGCAACATGGGTAAGATATAGAACTGAAGTAAATAAACTCACTTTCTTCAAGAAACTGATGGTTAAACTAAATGTAAAGACAAAAGGTCCAAAGCAAAACCTAAATTCCTACTTTAACATCCAGGCCATGAGTGTTTGGAGCCTGACCCCTAATGATTTATGATGTGTTATGCAGACATCCACAGCCTAACTCCCAATGACCTGTGGCATCTTGGATGGCCAGGCTCATGAAAACAAATCACACTGTAAAACTTACCACTTAAGAAGACTGTGAGAAGCCTGTTGAACTATCTCTAGTGCAAACTATGGACCCAGGGCAGCCCCATGTCAAATACTGTCAAAGACCTTCCCCCACTTTCAGCCTCGGGAGTCCTGCTTGGGAACTGTTTGCTGTGTCCTTACAGTGTATTTCAATGCTTCGCTCTAGCTTTTCACCAGCCTTCCCCATCCCATTTTGCATGGCACTGAGTTCAAACACATAATAACCTTATAATAAGAGGCAGAATTGTGATAAGGGCTTCAGTAAAGAGAAGAACAAATCCCCACAGGAACTCTAGAGAGGTAGGAACGACCTAAGCCAGGGGGGAGCAGGAGAATCAAAGAACATTTCCATGAGCTAATTTCAAGAAAGTGAAGAGATTTCCATTCAACAACGTAATTCACTAAACCACGTTACTAGACACTGTCTGTCTGAGTCAGAAACATAAAGAAAAAGTGAGATTTTTAAAAGAATGTCCCTTTTGCAGAAAGCTACATTATTAATCAGCCACTTCCCTCCCTCTTGGGAGGACTGTTGGTTGAGACAGCCTGTTTCCTAAGACAGCCTGTCTCCTTAAGTAAATGGTCCCAAGAAGAGATCATAAACCCTCTGTCCCTCAAGACAGACTAGAGCAAATGGTGCCAGGAAGAAGGAGGAGGGGCTAAGGGGGCCATGAACTCCTCAAGAATGCCCCTGATCCACAGGTAGTCAGCCAACCCCAATGGCACCTCCCGGGGGGGCGGTGGTTGATTCCAGCAGCGGGGAAGGCTGCTGTCCCTCAGTGAGGTACTTCAATAAGCTCAGTCTTGTCTGAGGTCAGGTATGGTCTCCTTCTTCCCTGTTGTTCCTGCATTCCGTGCCCCAGCCTAACGATTTTGACCACATGGGGAGGAGTCAGGATCTTGGCATCTCACCTCCTGGCTGGGAGGTACATTTGGAGGCTGCAGAGTTTGAAGCCTCCCAAATGAAGGGTCGGCTTTGCAGCTGGATTTCTGTCAAACATACCCATTCTGCCCCAGGATGCCTTGTCTGGTTCCTTCGGAGTCTTTGTTCCTTCTGTCGCTGACAGGAATTGAGCATCTGATAAAACATCATTCATTCTGCAGTAAAGGTGACAAAGCTTATGCAGAAAAAAATGGGGTAAAGGGCAGACCACTCAAAACCTATGCAACTTTGTAATTGGCCTATTTTTAGAAACAGTAACTGGTATCTTGGTCAGTAAGTTGGAAGCCAAGGCAGGTAGCTGGGTAGGACCAAAAGTGGCTTCAGAAAATATTAAAAATGCACAAAAATAATGAGATGAAAACCCTGGCTTTGGGCACTATGAACCAGTGGCACTGCTGTGAAGGTGGGCACAGAGACGTGCACCCTGGGTCGTGCACGGCTGGGGTGCAGTTCTCTGGGGAAGGAGTTTCGGTTGTAGGTGTTCATTTAAAATAAAGGAAAATATAAATAAAACTGAAAGTCGTGTGGAGCCTTTCTCACTAAGGATTTCATTTTCCTGTTTCAGCTCTTCTTGCATTAGGAAAGAAATCCATGTGAAGCAACTCAATGTCTGCCTTCTGTTGTTGCTATTTTCCTAATTGGTACTCTGGAAACGTATTACAGCACTCTGTGTTGCTGTACTTCACAGTAAGCTGTAGACTGGGATAGAGACTCCCATCTCTGAAAGACAAGCTCGCACTGTATCAGAGCTCTGAATATAAAACCGTGGCTCTTTGTAAAAATCAGTTTTTAATTAATATACAAACCAATGGATTTCATTTTGGCACTTTCGTAATGTGACCACTGATCTCAATTGTCAATTTGGTAAGATTCCAAATCTCCTGAGAGATGGGCTTCTGGGCATGCCTGTGGGGGATTATCTTGATTAAGTTAGCTGAAATGGGAGACCTACCCTGAAAAGGGCACCATTTCTCTAGACTGGATTATTGGACTGGATATAAAGGAGAAACTGAGCTGAGCATAAGCATTCATCACTCTCTGCTTCCAGGTTGTTAATGTGATGTGACCAGCTGTTTCAAGCCTCTGTCACCTTGACTTCCCTGCCATGATGGACTATATCCTTGAACTCTGAGCCAAAATAAGCCCTTTCTGCCTTAAGCTGCTTTTCTCATGGTATTTTATCATAGCAACAGGAAACCAACTAAGATACGCACGTGGCTGGCTTAAATCCTTCCCCCTCAACGCTTTTCTGTTTCCATGATAC